AGTTGCTACAACAGTAAAGGCGCATTACCGCCACCTTCTGGCTGCAATGGACCCTTAATAGACAAAATCTCCCTAAACTAAATCACAAAAGCAATTCTGATTTTTAAAAAATATATTTCTCCATCTGTACATCCCTAATATTAAACGGTATTTTCTTATCTTTTATGCTTACCTTAAAAATGTTATATTTAATGCAAGTTAAAATCTCACTTCTATTGTATCAGTTTCCCTTAAACGCTCCAGATTGATGTTTTTTATTTACTTTATTTTGATGGACATAATTATAGAATCTGCCATTTCTACCTCCATCCCGGTCTTTTTCTCCCACCTTCTCTTTATATTGTTTTTTTTTTTTTGCAGTGTTTCTAATTTCCACCGTGGAGTATTCATCAGAGATAAAGCTCTATTTCATTTTCTTGCATCCTGCTCATTGCAATCCATAAAAAAAATCTAAGATGAAAAGCTCATGTTACTTTTAGCTTTCATAATTTCCTCAGTTCTGCCAATGAATCATTTACTAATCTCATAATTTTTGGTAAATTATAATTTAAATTGTCCAGGTATTTTTAATTTTCATGTGGCAGAAACGGGCTTCCATTCCACAAAGTGAAGGAATATGCAGCATAAACCTGTTGCCAGTTGTTTCTGGTAAAGATTTAGTTCCATATATATATATATATATATATATATATATATATATATATATATATATATATATATAATATTATAGGATTACATTACAAGACGGCTGGTAAGTGCTAGGATCAGCAAAACTTTGAAGTGGTGCTATGACAGATGTTGTTCTCTAAAGAGCTGGATCTTCCTGACTTTTTTTAAATTGGAGAGGGATGTCCCTGCCCTTGTAGGAACTGGCAGTGTGTTCTACCGAAGAGGATGAAATGCTATATGAACCGTCTCTGGGCGCGCGTTCATGCATGCATGTGGCGTCGTGATTGAAGTAAAGAAACAACGTAGGCTATGTAATAAAACCGTGCATCTTTAACTTACCAGAATGAAAATGCAGGGAACACCCTCTCATTGACACCGGGACACTGTGGAAAGTTATGCTCGGTCGGCCTACAGCCGTGATCCAAGCTAGCCGACGACTCTTTGTTATCTCTGAAACTTGGTCTCCGTGAATGCATCTCCAAGCAGGAAAACGGTGGAAAGTTAACCCATTTTCTATTTTTTTCCCACGGCGATCATGACTTGCGCTGTTACAGCCCACAATACAGCAACGATATACCATGTTTAAAGTAGGGTGACGCTGGCTCTGTTCGAAAACCTAGGACGTGTCCTCCAAGGACGCGGTCTGCCTAGACTGGATCCTTTGAAGTCCTTGAAAATAAGGAGACCGGAAGAGTTTAGGCTGTGAATTCGACCAGGTCTACCCTTCGGCGAGTTTTACCGCCGTATGCTCTGTTGCTTAGCAACCGTAAACATTGACACACAAAGCAGGAAAAGAATGAATACAGAAGTTTTCAAAACTGTTTATTTTTTATTTTGAAATGAACAAAGACTACATTAACAAGAATCCAGAGTGGAATAAAGGTTCCAACCACCGGGTGCAGGAACAAATAAAATCAAATGTAATGATAGAAACCTTAGTCAGTCAAATAACCTGCTGCTGTCATTCTGCACATCTCTAATGTTGCTGCTATTTTCGAATATCCATTACTGTAAAAATGTCCATAGCTGCATATTGGTTATTTATTCTCCAGTTTAATATTGTTAAAACACTTTACAGTATTTTATTGTTTATATTTTAACTCTTCCCTATCATGTTATTCTTATACATTTTTTTAAGGTCCACATTTGTGTGACCATTTTCAATAATCTTTCTGCTGCTGTAAATTTGCCCATTGTGGGACAATAAAGGAATTTTCTATTCTATTCTATAAAAGGTTTAGAAATACATAAGTAAATTTAAACAATGTATCTACAAAATATATCTGCAAAATCTCTAATATTCAACAACAAAAAATACTTAGTTAAGCATATTGTGCAAAACAGCAATAAAAAGATAAAACTATCAGATTTATAGTCCCCACCCTGCAGATATATTAGAATCTGTCCTTAAATTACAGCCAAACCCATTTACACAGTAACAGATTAAAACCTTTAGATAAACCAAACATTACCGCCACATATCTGACTCAATAACCATTAAAACAACTATTTTCATTCATTTCAGATGGAACTATTAAATGACTTGTATTATATTAAACTGAACTTCCAATTTTCACCACTGTTCGGCGCCAAGTAACCTTTACTCTGATCACAGCTTGCTTGGTCTCGCAATGAATCCTGGGATATCCAAGAATACCGAGGATACATCAGACCCGTCATTCAAATCGGGCAAAAAGAAGGACGCATTTTAAGGCCGCATAACGAGGAGTCTTGGAATCCGACCAGACCTCGGCGCCGCGCTATGACGTAATAGGCCTTCGAATCCAGTCTTCTAAGGATGCATCCTAGGTTTTCGAACAGAGCCCATATTTTCATTTGGGAAAAACAGGACACCTTGGAGCGGGGGGTGGGGTTGGGGGGTTTGATTGAAAGAACAAATGTCTCATCATCGGGATTTGCTCCGTGATCAGAGGAAATGTTACTTGGCGCAGTGGTGAAAATTGGAAGTTCAGTTTAATATAATACAACTCTGTGATTAGTTCCGTCTGAGATGAATGAAAATAGTTGTTTTAATGGTTATAGAGTCAGATATGTGGCGGTAATGTTTGATTTATCTAAAGGTTTTAATCTGTTACTGTGTAAATGGGTTTGGCTGTAATTTAAGGACAGATTCTAATAGATCTGCAGGGTGGGGACTATAAATCTGATAGGAGTTTAATTTTTTATTGCTGTTTTGCACAATATGCTTAACTAAGTATTTTTTGTTGTTGAATATTAGAGATTTTGCAGATATATTTTTATAAATACATTGTTTAGATTTACTTATATCTTTCTAACCCTTTTATAGAATAGAATAGAAAATCCCTTTATATTCCCACAATGGGCAAATTTACAGCAGCAGAAAGATTATTGAAAATGGTCACACAAATGTGGACCTTAGAAAAATGTATAAGAATAACATAATAGGGAAGAGTTAAAATATAAACAATAAAATACTGTAAAGTGTTTTAACAATATAAAACTGGAGAATAAATAACCAATATGCAGCTATGGACATTTTTACAGTAATGGATATTTGAAAATAGCAGCAACATCAGAGATGTGCAGAATGACAGCAGCAGGTTATTTAACTGACTAAGGTTTCTATCATTACATTTGACTTTATTAGTTCCTGCTCCCGGTGGTTGGAACATTTATTCCACTCTGGATTCTTGTGAGTGTAGCCTTTGTTCACTTTAACTTTTAAAAAAATAAATAAATAAACAAACAGTTTTGAAAACCTCGGTATTAATTCTTTTCCTGCTTTGTGTGTCAACTTTCACGGTTGCTAAGGAACAGAGCACACGGCGATAAAACCCGCCGAAGGGAGGACCTGTTCGAATTTACAGCCAAAACTCTTCCGGCCTCCTTATTTTCAAGGACTTCGAAGGATCCAGTCTAGGTAGACCGCGTCCTTGGAGGATGCAGCCCAGGTTTTTGAACAGAGCCTCTGATTAAGAACAGGGCTGCCCGCACTGACGTGGCTCAGGGATTACGTCACACGGAGCGTCGTGCGCAGTGAAATCAGGACATTTCCTCACTTTCTAAAAAAAAAACCGGGACGCCCGGGACAGGACGTGAAATACGGAAATGTCCCGGGAAATACGGACGTTTGGTCACTCTATTTAAAGTCAAGTTAAGGTGAACTCAATCAAATTAAAACAAGGTGAGAGGGAGTACAGTATGCGGTAGTTGTAGCCAGTAGTCTGAGCAGCGGTAAAAGAGGCATTCAAGATGGCGGCGACGCAAAGTGCCTACGTCATGTCGACCAAGCCCTATCGGTCTTTGTCAGTCACGTGACTGACACGCCCCCTAGCGCCATTTTTGTGGTGAGCGGAAGAAAAACGAAACAGCAGAAAAGAGGAGAGAGCTGCAAGCCAGCAGTGAGGATTATCAGTTAAATGGAAAAGAAGAAGAAAACTGAACGGATACCCTACCCAGATAAACTTTCTAAAGCTGCTAGGGAACAATATTATATATTATTATTACAGTGACAAGGCAGATGTTGTGGGCAGTTGCACAGATAGCTGCAGTTATTAGAGTAGTTTGTGCTGCTCATCAGACTGAACGGAAAAACTTGTCATAATTTTTGCACATTGTATTTGCTGTTCACTTTACCCAGGCCTGTTAGAGATTCCGTAGAGATATGATTCCGTAGAGATATGATTCCGTAGAGATATGATTCCGTAGAGATATGACCTGTTAGGTCATATCTCTACGGAAGACCACAGACCACAGTGAAAACAAGTCCAGGGAAAATGAAAATCTTCTAATTTAATCTAAAGAGCAATCTGCTATATATGAGGGAGGAAGACAAAGTAAAAAATTTGAAGCTTTGCACTGTTCTGCATTATTTATGTATTTGAGATTTTGTATTGCATTTTCATAAATTATCTGCTTGGTTGAAAAGATAATAACAACGCTTGTTTCAAATTTCAAACTCCACTCTTTATTGTACACACATTTTTACAACTTCAGAAACATTGTTAATATTTGAAGTGATGGTGAAACTTATATTTGTTTTGCTGTTATTTTTCAAAAGTAACTTTAAAAAAAGGCAAAATTCTATTTGTGTGAAAAGAAGAATAAAAAAAGAATAAAGTATCTGGCATTCATTTATTAGCTGGTTTCTCTGTGAAAATGTCCAAACAGTCACTAATCACTGTGACTCTATGTCCAAAGGCCTCCACAAACTGATGAGGCATAATTTTGTGCAAGGTGTCTCTATCTGGCCACACAATTGCACGCTTTAGATTTGCATATAAAAATGACACCATTTCATTGAATGTTCTGTACACTGTCTTTGGTGAAACACAGAAGAGATAAGCAAG